GAAAAACCTGTAAAAATAATGTGGAAAGTCCAAAGGTGTAAATTGTACAAAAAAAAAAAAAATTAATATTAATAATAATAATAATAAGCAAACAACCGAACAAACAAACAAACAAGCAAAAAAGAAAGAAAGAAAATGACGCAAATGAATTTATAAACGTGATCGATTATAAACGAATAAAAAAAATTTAAATTTATTTATAGGAAATTAGGAATTTGTATCGAAATTGAAATTTTTTTTTTTTGCTCAAAGGAGGGAGTGAGAGAGATTGAGAGAGAGAGAGAGAGGGAGTTTGTACCTGAAATTTTCGAAAATGTAAAATTAATTTAAATAAATAATAAATAAATAAATTCAAGGGAACGATGAAGAAGGTCAAAATAAGGATTTAAAATTATTGCGACTAAATAAAAATGATGCCACAGAAAAGAGAGAGAGAGAGAGGGGGAAAGAGAGGGAGAGAAGAAGGGGGAATGGGGGAGGGAAAGGGAAAGGGAACGAAATTAAACGAATGGGTTAATTACATTCGAATGAAGGGAAAATGAAATTTATTTATTTTTTAAATTGAGGTAGGTTTCCCGTAGGAGTAGTAATGTAATTTAATCAGTCAGTCAGTCAGTGAATCAATCAATCAATCACGTGAGATGGTTAGATATTATTCCGCCATTACGTAAACGAATATGCTAGAACAATGTAATAATAATAATAATATTTTACGATTTAGCTATTTTTGCGTGCGTGCGTGCGCGTGCGCGTGTGCGCGTCTCGTTTTCCTAACAAAACATGCCCACGTTTGGTTTATTTTCAACAGGCGCAAATGCATTTTGGCTCCCTGTTGGACTCCCTGGAGTTCCCACCGTCCCTCGATCGAGAAGATTCGCATAAATGGCAAACTAACGAATTTCTTTTTTCGAAGATCGAAAAATATTTTACACGTCGAAAGGTAGTTTTATTATCATTTTTTTTTAAATTTACCCCCCCCCCACCTCCTCCGCGGTTTCCCACAATCGTTTTCCCCCTACGACTTGGAGGGGGAAAAAAAAGAAAAACTTTTTAAAAGCGATTTATCCTTGAACGAAATCGGTTTCTTTTTACAACCGGCTCCATTAAATCGATTAGTATTGAATTTATTATTATTATTATTAGTAGTGTGGTACTGCCAAAATTGCTCCACCTTTTTTTTTCCAACTCGGACAGTTTGTCCCTCGAAAAATAATAATAATAATAATAATAATAATAGGTATCAAATTGACATACATAACGATGGCACAAAAATGGAACAACGATATGGATTTGTTCCCGAAAATTTTTTTTTTTTTTTTTTTTTTAATTTTTATGCCGATTTTCGAGGATGAAACAATGAAATTAAAAAAAAAAATGATAATGATAATGATAATAATGATGATAATGATGGTGACGGTTATCACATCGAATTCGTGAAACGTTTACCGATTAATGTGTGCCACGGTCATCGTACAAATAATTTGGAAAAAAAGAGAATTATCGAAAGAAAGACTCCCATCGCGGATTTTATAATAGACGATTTGGCTGGTGAAACTAAATAATAATAATAATAATAATAAAATATGCGCAAGACGACGGTTGGTTGGTTGGTTGTTGTAAATTTGTTTCATAATACAAAAGAAAAATGTCTCGTTTCTCCAGGCCTTGGCCTTAAGAAAAAAATTTCTATTCGTCCCCCTTTTTTCGTTACAAAATCCTCGAAACCTGGGCCTACTTTTAAGGTACACTTTTTTTTTTTTTTTTTTTTTTTTGTCTTGTGACCCGTGAAAAATGAAGAAATTTCAAAAAGTAAGTGTAAACGTACTTTCGTAATATTAACAGAGAGAGAATCGATCGATGACGTTAATGCCACGTTTTCGAAAACGTTCCAGATTATTTTTCTTGACCCTGACATTGTGCGTAAAGTGTGTGTGTGTGTGTGTGTGTGATGATGAGTTAAGAGAGTTATTTTCCTGTCGATCGACTTTCGATTCGATTTAATTTGTTTTTTCTGGAAAATCGATATTTATATTTTCTTAACGTGTAATTTCGTTGTTGAGTCTACGCACAAAAAAAAAAGAAAAAGAAATGATTGACGTCAAATGTTTTTTGTTTGCTTGTTTGTTTGTTTGTTTGATTTGAGATTTAAATGCTTTTTATACTCAGTCAGTTGTCTTTTGAAAAAAAAAAAAAAAAAAAAAAAAAGAATCGATTGATCGATCGATCGATCGATCGAACATGTGTCGCAATTGTGTTTTAAATTATTATTACAATTTTCGATAGGTCGCGTGATTATATATCGCGGAGAGAGTCACGTGTGAAAAAAAAAGCTCCCCGAAAAGAAAAAAAAAAAAAAAAAATTTCCATCGTTCGTAAAAGTGAGAGTGAGAGAGAGAGAGAGAGAGAGGAGACCCTTGGCCCGATAAGTATAAAAATCACAGATTCGTTGCATGATTGATCGAAATATTCTGATGAAAGTCACGTTCGCTTTTTCGTCTTCTGCTTTTTCTTCTGTTGCTCCGTTTGTTTAAATTAAATAAAACAAACAAGAAGAAAAAAAAAAAGAAAAAGAAAAACCGACATGTTTTTACCTTTCACAGTGGTCGAAACGCGGTAGTTGCAACTAATTATCATTATCATTATTATTATTATTATTATTATTAATAAACGTCACGGGTAATAATTTTCTCGGTGATAAAATGTCGAAATGTTGATGTTAATTATTACAATTTAAGTTTGTTTTTCTGTCTGACGTTTTATAAGGTAGAGGAGAGAGAGAGAGAGAGTCACGTGGTGAGTTTTTCAAGTATCCATTTTAATTTGCAATTGCGTGTGCGTGTGCGTGTGTGCGTGCGCGTGTTAATTACCACCCGATTAAGTGTGACGAACGATAAATTAACGAGTGAAACGGGAAGAGGTTTAATAAGATTTAATAATAGGTTTCCGTCCTTGTTTACCGTTATTAAGAGTCGTCAAATTGTCGCAATTATGGACGATGGTCCGGGGTTGGTCTCCCCAGGGTTGGTCGGTTGGTTCCTCAAATGAAAATTTTTTCAAACGACAGAAACACGACATTGACCTTCTCGACAGTGGATAATTTAAAAAAAAAAAAAAGAACAAAAAAAACGAGTCGGACAGTGACATGTGCGTTTATGCGAAACGTATTCGTTATTTGGCAAAATATGAAGCGTTTGCTAAAACATGATTGCCAACAAATGTTGACAAAAAAAAAAAAGAATAATAATAATAATTAACGACGTCATCAATGTTTTTTTTTGTCTTTGTCTGTAAATCGTTTTCGCATCAGTTGCTGTTGTGCTGCGGTTTCGTTCGTTTTGATGTCGTTTCATTTTCAATAAAAATGAAAATTTTTAAGAATTTTTATAAGAAAAACGTTCATGCTCGGTAATTATAAAAAATTTTTAAATTTTTTGTATATTCGAATGTTGCGTTTTGTTGGCACGATTGTTTTGCGTGGAAATTTTTTTTTTTTTTTTTTTTTGAAAAGTTTTCGCGATCGGTGGAGGAGGCGGTTGTTATTCAATTTCGTATTACGCCAAATCGCGATATACTTTCTTTGATTTCCTCCACTTTATCCGTTACGTAAACCGAAAAGAAAAAAAAAAAAAAAACTCCCGAATTCTTTTAGGTTTAAGTTGGTAGTAGTGGTTGTAGGTATATCGAAGTGAATTAATAAGAAACGTAATAACACAAAATTGTTTAAGGTAGAAGAATGGGAATTTCAGGAAATTGTAAAAAAAAAAAAAATGTTGAGAGTGTTTACATAACAAAATGGCGAGTGAAACAACAACGTCGGTCGTGTATACAATAATGTTTGTTTGTTTGTTTTCCTTTCAACCTTGTGGATGGTTCGTTCCTAACAACAAATTGTTTGTAAATAATTTTAAAAAAATTTGTCTTATTCTTCGCGTTATGTAATTCATTTTCGGCTGTTGGCGTTCCCCCCCCCTTCCGCCGCCACCCCCCTAGGATTCGTGGTAAAAATGTTTGCCGTCGTCGTCGTCACCGTCACCGCCTTCCCTAAACCTGCTCCCCTATCTCTCTCTCTCTCTCTCTTTCTCTTTTTCGACCGCAAATTCAAACCTTATTGCTTCGTGGCATTTATTTATGAGGTCACAGTTTAGGCTTCTCAGGGTATTTATTAATGAAATGACATTGAAAAGAATTTTAAACCTGCCAATGCCGACCAAAAGAAAAAAAAAAAAAAAAAAAAAAAACTTGCTTTTGCTAAAATGTATGTGCGTGTGCGTGCATGTGGTGTGTGCGTGAGTGCGTGAGTGCGTGTTTGCAAGAGTCTGTCTGTGATTGTGGTAATTGAAAATCCGTTAGTGGTGGTAAATAAATGGTTGCATAATGAGGTTTGTATTTAAGCAAATTTCGTTTATGTTTTTTTTTTTTTTTTTTGTTTCGCTTTTCATTCGTTTTCGATTTTCGTTATTATTATTATTATTATTGTTAATGTAAGCCATTTTGAATTGTTAAAAAAGAAAAAAAAAATTTGCACGGTCGTACGTTTTTTTTTTTTTTTTTTTTTTTACGTAATTGTGCGATTAAAAACGAGTTCACGGAAATTTTGGGTTTTTTTTTTTTTTTTTTGTGGTTCGAATTACGCGAGGTGTCTTGAGCTAATCCGGCTATTATTATTATTATTATTATCATCATCATCTCGAAGTAATTTAAAATTCGTTTGTGTCAGAACGCGTAAAAAAAAAAAAAAAGAAAAAAAAAATCCTTTCGAATGTGTTACCTAACGCACTCGCTCGCTCGCACGCACTCACGCATAATTTTTTTTTTTTTTTTTACTTATAATAATAATAATAATAATAATTATGACAAGAGGAAGAAAAAGAAGAAGAAGAAGAAGAGCAAAAACAACAACAACAACAAACGCGAAAATTTCAATTCACGATAATGATAAAAATTATGTAATTTTTTTTTAATTTGTCGGAGGTAAAAGTATGTCAGAGAGCGTAGAAATAATGTCTGTGGTGGAAGAGAAGAGAAGAGAAAAGAAAAGAAAAGAAAGATGGAGTCGTGTGAAGTGATTTTCAAAAAAATTAATTTTTTTGTTTTAGATCGAATCGCAGGCAACGTGGCAACCACGAAGAACCCGAATTTTCAAACCAAAGCATAATGAATGCTATGGAAAAGTTTGTTAGCACGGTGCAAGAAATGGACGAAACCATTTTGGTGCCCTGCCGGTTGATGGACTTGAAAATCGGGGACGCATCCGATACGACACCCATCGGAGATGCAAAAACGGAAGTACAAAACATGATGAAACACGCGGATTTGTATTCCCTCTACACGATGATCAACACGGTGAAAAACGAATTGCTTTGGGGTCACAATAATTCGCCGTCGTCGGATGAACCCATCGGACCTTTTTTCGTGCCTGGCGTCGTCGTCGGTACGTATTGCATCCGGGCCAGGGGGCTCCCTCCCCCCTCGCCCTTTTCTCTTGTTTCAAATTTCCCAAAAATCCCCATCTTGATCTCATGGCGGCGAAAAAAAAAAATTCGCGTGGGTTATTATTTTAACGGTTTTTTTTTTATTTCCTCGTTGTTTTAACTAAATGGCGTTTTTGTTCATTCGTGCGAAAAGAAAATTGTTCTCGCGCTCCTCCTCCTTCCCCCCCCCCCCCCCGCAAAATCGTTTTCGATAAAAATGACTGACATCACGGTTTAGTAATTACACATGACTAAAAATAAAAAAGTGGAAGCCAACGCGAGCGTATCGAGCGTTTTTTTTTTTTTTTTTTTTTTTTTGATTCGGTTTGCCAAATTGCTGCAATTATTCGTCCTTGAAACGTGGAATTTAAAAGTGGTTGTAGGAGAAAACGAAAAAAAGTTTGTCTGCGACCACGAAAGAAAAAAAAAAAAATTTTCTCTCTCTCTCTCTCTCTCTATTTGTTTCTTATTGACTTTCTACCGATTGGGTTTATCCATATGGTAGGGAGAGGAGGAAGAAAAGAACGAATCCGATTGGTCCGATTGAAAGTTTTAGAAACGTACTTTTTTTCGCATTGAAATGACGCCCACGCGGAAGGTGGTCAATATAAATTTTTATCAGGTGTTCCGCCATTTTTACCTTTTTTTTTTTTTTATAATGTCATCGATTAAAATGTTGTTTTCACTCAATGTCGATCACGACTGATTAATTTTTCACTCTCTCTCTCTCTCTTCAGGATCGAATTACCTTCAATCATCGGGAGCATCATCCATGCCTTCAACTCACACGACATCAAATTCTTCAACGACGACCGCAAATTTTTCTAGCCTACCAAATACAAAAACGCACAGTAGGAATTCATCCGCGTCAAACATCAAACCGGAGAAAAGTGGAAACAGCAGTAGCAACAGCAGCAGCAGCAATCATCAGAGGAGACCATCCACGGGTTCTCTCGTTTCGACTCATTCCATGACGAGCATGAGTTTGTCGGACACGGATTCGGAAACCGGAAACGAAAACGATTCCGGTATCGAAGATGGTAACGCCGTCGATCCGACCGTTAAAATCGCCCTAAATTTTCGCAGGCACCTCACGGGTTTGCACAAATCCCTAGAGCAGATGACCCAAGCGGCGAGTTACCTGACACAAAGGTATCAGCACGACGTGGGAGGAAACGTCTGATGATTTTCCATCATCCGCCATCATCGAAATTAGAAATTTTTTTTCATAGTTTTTTTTTTCCTCCGCCCCTTTCCCCCTTCCCCCTCATCCTCCCACACATAATTTTTTTTTTTTTTTCAACTTATTGTTATTGTTTTCATCATAATTAATACAATTAATATTATTATCATTATTATCATTATTATTAATATCGTAATTGAAAACGTAAACGTCGAGGATAAGACCGACATGGCTGCTGCTACTGCTGTTGCTGTTGCTGCCACCGACATCATCATAATCATTTCAAACATACAATTTGGCTCGTCAAAATTATAACAAAAGAAGAAGAGAGGAAGAAAATCACAAGAAAGAAAAGCAGAAGAAAATCACAAAGATCTCAACAAGTTTGTTTGTTTGTTTGTGTTTGTGTCTGTTAGATTGTGTGTGTGTGTGTACACGAATATGAAGATAAAGAATAATAATAATAATAATAATAATAGAAAAGGATATGACGTTTTATATATTATCATTATTATTGTATGAAGGCGTTACCATATCCTCCGTGTGCGTACACAAACGCATACGCAATGAATAAATTGTGATTCATTTTAAACAAAAAAAAAAAAGTATCGATTGATTGATTGATTGATTGATTGGAAATGTTGTGAGATGCGTCGTTCTAAATATGTCCATTGTCGGTGTGTTAAAGTAATGGGTGTTTGTAAGTGCGGGGATGAACAGGTGTCATTCTCACTATTTTTTTTTATCATCATCATTATTATTATTATTATAATTATTATAATTATTATCATCATTTTTTTTTATTACGTTTTCTTTCATTATTATTATTATTATTATTAAAGTATTAGAATAATTATTAATTATTTTTGTCATTATTATTATTATTATTAGTAAATGTGATTATGAAGAATGAATGAATGAATGATTGATTGATTGGTTCGTCGTGCTGATGAGTGTGACTGATTTATTAATTGTATATTATTATTATTATTATTATTAATAAATTATTATAATTATAATTATAAAATTAAATAATTGACATCACTGTTATCAGATTGATTGATTGATTAATTAATTACGTATTTTGATTCCATGTTGATTAGAAAATGAAAAAAAGTTTTTTGTTTGTACGGTGTAATGATGAATAATGGCGTTTTTTATGGTGAGAGTGCGCCATTATTAATATTAATATTATTATTAATTATTATTTATATACTGTGCAATTAAATTTTATTTATCATTAACTGAGTAGAAATGATAGTTTTTTTTATAAAATAAAAGTTATCCTACCTTGTATTATTCCTGAGTCGATGAATTTCTAGTATTTTTCTTTCTTGACAATTGTTATGGCGTTTTGACCGTTGACAACTCGTCCATTTTTTTTTCCGTTTCTTTCACTTAAATTTCACACTCGATCGAGTTTTTCGATATTAAAAAACGATTAATTAAACACTAAACTTAATTTTTATAACGTTAAACCGTGTTTAAAACCCGTAAATCCTTTTTTTTTTTCGTTAAATTTTAATTTGAAACCGATACGCGTTGTAAAGTTTTCACATTCGAACGACGACATTATTTTAAATTTATCTTTTGACACGTTCCGTGTTGCCAACTTTAAAAAAAAGTTTCTTACTCTATGATTATAAACAATACAAACCGTATAGAGAGTAGGAGAAATTCGTTAATTATTGATTTTTTTTTATTTTCTTTTTGGTTTTTTTATTTATTTATTTATTATTTATCTCTTTTTTATTTTTTTATTTTTCCTTTTTCTTTAATTTAAATTAAATATGTTAATTTTTAAATTTATTCATAAAATAATTTATTATTATTATTATTTTTATTTAATAAAAAAAAAAACGTTTCGAACGAATTTCTCTCACTCACTCTTAAGTCAACCAACCGGTTTAATTAAAGTATTAAGTTAAGCTTTAATTCAGTGATATGAATAAACATTCCATAATGTTTTTTATTATTATTAATTTATTATTTTAAATTAAATTTTTTGTCATTATTTGATTCGTTTGAAAAAATTTATTTCTAATTAGTTATGAAAGGTATTGAAAAATCATTTTTTAAATGTCAAATATGTGAAAGACATTTGAGTTCGAAAAATTCTCTCAAGTTAGTTTTAAACGACAATTTTTTTTTTTTTTTTTTTTGTCTATCTCAGCTCTCTCCATGATTTACTAACATGAAATTTTTATCATTATTATTATTATAGGGTTCACTTAGACAGTCATGACAAGTTAAAAAAATACAAATGTAAAAATTGTGATACATTTTTTCACACACAAGGAAGTTATTATGCTCACATACGTCGACATAGTGGTAACGATATCATTTGTCACTTTTGTGGTAAAAAATTTTATCACAATGATAAATTTAAATGTCATTTAAGAACTCACACAGGTGTGTGCACATGTCTCCACATTCTTTTTTTAAAATTTCAATCAATCATTCATTCATTCATTCATTCAACATTCGATTAATAATAACATGAATGTACTCTTACATATTAATTGATATTGAAGTTTGATATTCGAGCGACTGATTCCCCTCGCTTTTCATCATTTTCAGGTGAAAAACCATTTGTTTGTAAAAACTGTCCGAAAAAATTTGCATCCAGGGATAACCTCAAAAGACATGATGTTTTGGTACATAAAAACGATAATGATTTCATATGTCAAATATGTCGAGAAAAATTTGTTTTCTATCAAAATTTTTTGGGTAATCTTCTTTCTTTTATCATTTTTGGAATGATTTTTCTTAAAATGTTTCAGTCAGTCATTCATTCAATCATTTTGTTTTTTTAAGATCACGTGAAAATTCACAAAGTTAATAAATATTACAAATGTGAGGATTGTATGAAAAAAGTCAAATCGAAAAGTCTTCTTCTCAGACACATGAGAATACACACTGGTAACAAACCGTACACTTGTGAAATATGTTCGGCATCATTTTCCGATTCGTCGAATAAAAATCGCCATTTAAAAATTCATAAACAACGAGAGGAAAAATTTGATGACGATGATGATGATCACGACGATGACGACGTCATTCCCATTAGAGAAAAAAATTCACAAATTAAATATTTTTTTCTTTACTGTCACCGCGGTGACGGTGGTGACGGGGGCGATGGTGACGGCGTTGACAAAACAACGAATAACGAAATCGAATCCGTTTGTTGCGATTATCTTTCTGAACCTGTCAAACCTGGAAAATTTATCGAAGAGTAGTAATAAATTTTCATTTACATTTAAAAGTGTTTAAATAAATCACTCGATCGATATTACATATCAATTAATATTAATAAATAAATAAAATTGCCATTTAATTAATATTAATAATAATAATAATAATAATAATTAATTTTACGTTTTCTAGTCGAAATCGAAGTCAAAAAAAAATTGTGTTAATTTTTATTTTATGTTAATAGAGATATTAAGTCTAGTCATTTTAATAATTTCAATTTGCATTTTAATAATTATAATAATAAGTTAAAATAAATAAATTCTCATTTTTAATAATATTAATAATAATAATAATAAATATTCGGGCTGTGTTAAATATTATTAATAAACAAAAAAAAATTAATAAACAAATATTTATATATTTATATGTATATACACTAATATATGTATTATTATTATTATTATTACTATTTTTTGTATGTACATAAATAAATAAATAACGTCGTTTGAACATTTAATAATAATAATAACAATAATATTTTTATACTTATTCGATTAAAAACAAAAAAAAGGGAAATTTATCCTTTTTTCATTACTATTATTATTATTAGTATTATTTATTTATTTATTTATTTATTTATTAATATATATGTCGTGTCCGTCTGTTTGAAAATAAAGCTTTATTTATTGAATTATATATATATATTTAAATAATTTTTTTTTAATCTCCCCAAACCCACAACATTTTCCACCCCGTATCGATTTCTATCGATATATCGATTGATCGATCGATTAACTTTGTGCGATGCGATATAATAAAATATTAGTATTACTACTACTGACTTTCTTTTTCTGTCGGCGTTTCCGTTTCCGTGATGGACGATTGATTGGAAGCGTTTAAAGAATACGTCGATAATAATATTAATAATTGATCGTGCGTCGGAAGTGCCATTATTATTTTATCTTCTTCCGTGTAACCATTTTCATCTATTATATTTTGAAGTGATTGAAATTTATTGACGATGTTATTCTATTTTTTAACAAAAAAAAAAAACAAAACAAAAGTTTATTTTTTATTCGTTTTTTTTCAAATCAAAACGTTTTGTATACCTTTATCGGCCTGTACAAAATGGCTTCCGTTTCTTTGTTAGCCAAATACAATTGCATTAACCTTTGTACGTGTGAAAGTTTCGTTTTGATTTGTCTTTGAGTGTCTTGAATTATGGATCCGATTTGTTCGGGAGAAGCAAACGATTGTTTTCTCAATGTAAAAACATGACCCGTTTGTTGTTGTTTGTTTTTTTCCTTCGCCATTTCCATAAATGAATGTACCTGAAACGAAAAAATCAATATTTGAAATAAAACGATAATGAAATTATTTTCCAATAATATGTGTAACTCACTAACCTTTTCTAAAAAACTAATCAAACCGGATATCAACATATTCGTAGAATTTTCGATGAAAGACTCGCATGAAAATTTCAATTGTTTGTCTACTTCTTTTCGACTGTCCACCGTGTTTTCTTTAACGGTTGGCGTACCTTCGAGTAAAAATTCCAAAAGAGCATTGTTTGACCCCAGAGAAAACAACCGGTTCCGTTTCTGTTTGTTTTTGCAATAAAATAAACATTTTTCATTTTGGATTTTTTACTTAATTTGTAATGTCGTAAAACAAACAAACCTGTAGTAAACTATAAGCAGCCGATTTAACTTTTGTAAAATCCAAAGTCATTTCTTTAACGGTAAAATCAACTTGAAAGGGAGCAACTTGTTCCCTTAGTATCAATAAATGTTTCATTTCGAAAAGTTTTCCATCTAGAACGCTCTGCAATATAACACACGCGCGAAAAAAAAAAAAAACTTAAAATAAAATTTTTTAACTTGTAAATTGTTTGAAGACAAAAATCCGTTCACCTTTTGAGTGGATATCGTGTTGGCTGCAGATGCTATACTTTGAATACACATGGATAAAGCTTCTTGAGACAGTCCTTGAAATATCGGACGTTCGACGCAACGATATAATCTTGATAGGGTTACCAAAGTCCTACGAACTGGAGGATACCACATTCCGTGTAAATCGGCAGGTGAATCTAAAAAAAAAAAAAAAAAAAAAAAAGAAAAGAAAAACAAGATTTTCCATGAGTTTTGATTCCATGAGAATTTTGTCCAACAGTTAAATGACACAATTATCAACTCACTTCCGGTTCGGGCTCTGAACGGTTCGGCGGAATGAAGAGTTTCATTATTTGTTTTTTCCATTTCTTGATTTGTCGCTGAAGAACCGGAAGCAAGGGACGTACGACTTTCGGATCTTTTCATTGAAGCAACCGCTTGTTCTTGAAGTGATAAAGCTATGCTCTGAAAATAATTTATCACGAGTCAAACAAAAAAAAAAATCGAATTCGTTCGAATGGCTTCCACGTTTCGCACTCACTTCCATCATTTCAAGTTTTTCCGGATATGCCAAATCTCCGGGAGACGGCTTGTAATTCAATATATCGGATTGCAAATACAAATGCGCTCTAAAAACGAGTCTCTCCTGTACGTCTTGCATCAATTGCCAAATAACTTTTCCGAACGCTTCCAAAGGCAACGGATTATTTTGAACGTGTTCTTCTAACATTTCCAAACGAAAAATACTACAAAGCTCTGCAAGCGTTTCTAAATGATTGACGTGAATTATAATTGGTCTTAATATGTCATATAAATTCAAACAAAGGCCCTCCAAATACGCCCTGAAAATTTTCAACAAGTACTTTTTACTTTTTAACACTCCTCGACTAAACATTGAATCATTTAAAATTATGTAAAACTCACATGAGCAATGGAGTTGGTTTATTGAAAAATTGGAAAAACATTTGATACTCATCAGTGCAAATGTGAACTAGGAAAGCACAACCACTTCTAACCAAAGTACAATGATCTCCTTTGTGTCTATTCGATAATTCGATGATGGCACTTTTCACACCATCAGACATCAATTCTTTCCTTTGTGTGAAATATATTTCATGACAATCAGACAGTAAAATATTATAACTGAAAAAATTTAATATACATCTAGTAAAATGAATTACTTGTAAAAAATACAAAAAAAAATTTTTTTTCCCATTATTCTCTTACTCTTGAAATTTATCCAATCTCTGTTCTATGTTATAAATTAATTTTTTTATTTTAAATGCATATGCCTGGAAACGACCGTAAAACAAAGCAAAATTTGTCGCATCAGTCTTACTTATTTCATTCTGTTGTATCGTTACAGCGGGAAGAACTTGATTTTTAGCTAATATTAATGTCTGACTAATATATTGTTTCATCATATTAACAGCTTTTGTTAAACAGTATTTAAATTTTGCACCATAACTGGGGGATTCTTTAAACTTAATCTGAAAGTATAAAAAAAAAAAAAATTTTCGTATTTAATCATAGAGTAAATAAAATTTTACTCGAGAAAACTGAAAACGACATTCGATTACATTCGAAATTACATTAATAATTAAAAAAAGTGTGAAAAGTTACTTACATTATTATTTATATACTCTATGCAAGCATCTAACTTATCTAAAACTCCATAAAAAGTATCACTCGTTACTGAAAGAGCTGGATTTGATAATTTTTGTTGTAAAGTATCTAAGCAAGTAAAATATTCCAATTTATGTTTTATTTCTTCATATGTTTTACTTAATTTCATCTAAAAAGAAAGTAACTTGAAATTAAACAACTGAATTCTAATTATCGATTCAGATTACAATTAGACAAGTTAATTTGTATAAATTATCGAAAGAGCAAAAAAATTTTCAAATTTCATTTTGAAAAGTGTTACAACACACCTGTTCCTGCAATATTTGTTGACAAGCATTATGTAGAGAATTTGTATTATTAGACACTAAATTATACTGATCCAATAATATATTAAGATTTTGTAAACCTTTTTCAACTAAGACTAAAACTTCATCAGTTTCATCTCTCCAACTGCACAACTGTTTAAAATATTCTAAATAAACCGTTTTCCCTTCTTCCAAAATTTTATCCTCTATTTCTGAATAATTTTTTAAAAACTGTTGAACGCTTTCAATATTATCATTTTCCGAATCGTAATTTGTTTCAACCTTACTCTCGTCTTTTGGAATCTGAAAAATAAATTTAAAAAAAAAATAATAATGATTAATTTTAAATAATCCTTATAACGTTACAGTTTACGTGAAATAGGCTTTTGTACGAATTATTACTTGGGTTGAAAACGGTTGATATTTAACGGCATCGGCAATTTTATCAATGGCGAGTAATTGTTTTTCATTTAACGGCGCTTTTGGATTTTTCAAATTATCCCATTCAATTAATTTATGTTTTATCTTTTCAATTTCTTTACTACTCAACGTCATACCGGCCATTACAGTTATTTGACAAGTGGTGCCAACTTCAAAAAAAAAAAAAAAAATTTTAATATCGTTGGTAATTCTTTTAAGTTTACAACAACTTCTTACCATAAACAATTTCTTATGTTTAATGAAATAAAAAATAAATAAAAATTTAATTTTAATTATTTATTGAAATACATAAAGATAAATAAATATCTTATTAAAATTAAGTACAATGTTATTTAGTATTAAGTATTTATTAAAGAAAAAGTTTTAATACTGAAGAAATGTTACAAAATCATCATTTAATTATTACATTTTTTTTTTTTTTTTTTTTTTTAAATAAGAATCAAACAAATATTATTAAAAGTTTATAATGTAAAAAAAAAAAAAACGTTTTTACTAGCTAAAAAAAATAATAAAAAACCGTTAAAAAGAACATCAAGGCCCAAGATAATACTTTTTTTTTTTAAATTTCAATTTCCTATACAATTTATGTAAAATATAAAAAAAAGCATAAATTATAACAATTAAATTAATTTTTAAAATCTTATTAAAAAAAAAAAATAAAAAAACTTAACTAACAATTAATTTCTTGTTATTTAAAAAACTATTCTTATAAATACCTTAATTGAGTCAGACTAAAAAACATTTTTTTTTTTTAAATTCAATCTTGTACGATAAGGCATTTATTATTATTATTATTATGTGATGAATTGACATTTCTGAACCTAAATTACAACCTTAAAAATTTTTTTTTTTTGTAGGTATCTGTTGCACCGATAACTGTATAGACAACCTTTTTTTTTTTTATAAAAAATTCTTATTGATACCGAAGAAAACATTTTTCGGTTACACTAGACAAGTAAGTAAATAAAAAAAAAAAAAAAAAAAAAATTTTCTTTTAAAATCAACTGTTCAATCGATAAAAACAATTTAAATAATTTAAGTAAATAAAAAAAATTTTAAAAATTGCACAAGTTTTATTTTGCAACTGGAGGAGTGTTGAAAACTTTTCTATTTTTATTACGATTTAATCGACGATAATCCCTGAAATTATTAAAAATAAAATATATTAATAGTTTAAAATGTTTCCCCCCCCTCCTCCTCCCCATTAAATACACAAAATTTCTTACAATGATAATACTGGTGTTGATGGCTGAATATTTTCATCTGGTTCATTGTTTACAAAATTATACCAATATTCCCCGGGCATGTCCAGCAAACATTCGATAACCTGGAATTCAAATTTAAAATTATATAAAATGCCACAACTAAAAATTTATCCAGAAAATAATTCTTTAAAAATAAATTTTCTCACCTGTGATTGCTGTGCTGTTTCAACATACATCTCATTTCTCACAGGTTCGATTCTTGAGTAGCCCACGATAGTCGGTCCAAATACTTTTGCCAGATTACTTTTTGACATTTTACAATCAGGACTTTGAGAGACTCTTTAAAGAAAAAAAAAATATTAAATTGTACACTTTCACAACAATGGTTGCACTTTAAAAGTTATTTACTTTTGAAGATGTTGCATCATAAAAGCCAAAGTATCTCGATTGGGTTGAGGTAGTTGAGAAACAGCTTGATACAAAGCCGACGTTCTTTCGGACACATCTTCATTTTCACTTGCACGAATAAATTCAGGCCATAAGGAAAAAGTAACGAGTGGTTCACTTAAACTCCTAAGAAAGTCTTTGATCGTACCACAAACAACGTGAATGTCATATCCAGAAAGAGAACAAACTCCTTTGCCACGAAGAAATCGATCCTGAATTTAAAAATTTACAAGATTATATAAACTGTAAATCGAAGGTGCAAAAGGAAGAAAATTTCACGTACTTTTAAAGCGCGAACGTCTTTTTCCGATCCTGGTATTCTATAAATACCAACTTCACCCAGTCCTCTTGCTTCTACTTCAAATACGCAGTGAACGATTAGAGGTGGAACCATTGGAGGTGTTCTGCTGCAAAAATCGGCAATTGTAGTGCCGGAAGTTCCTCTGGGAGTCGCAACAATAGCCAAACAAGGCATTGGAGCTTTGTCTCTACATTCTGGATGTACCATAACTCTGCAGTCTGAACAGTAAAACATTTTGTTTCCAAAAGTTATTCTAAAATTAAAAAAAAAAAAATTATCATTCAATTTTTATAACAACAATAAATATTTTTTATTTAAGTTGTTGATATAATTTAATACTTTTTAACGCAAACGCTGCATTCTTCTGATGGTTTCAAATTAGTTTTATTTCGAAAACAATGAATTCTATTAAACAATTTGTTTTTAGAATATATTGGATTTGAGTTATGGGAAAAACAATTAATTGCTTCTGTCACTTCACTGTCAGTGTCCGACGATAATTTCGGAGGAGCTGAAGGCTTGGTGTCTTTATAATATGCCTGTGGATATGTTTCTATAGTGGAACACGCTACTATAGGTCCTTGTTTAGGAACTGTTACAGTTGTTGTGGCAATGAGTTGTTCTGATGATACTTTTTCTATTTTATTAACCTAAAACAATAATAAATGATTTGTTATGGAAAACAAAAACAATTTTATCAATCATTTGAATACCAAGAATAATCAAAATTTATTTATATAAGTTAAAATGAATATTTACCTGATTTTGAGACCATGCAGATTTTCGTTTCTTATTAATTTGAAATTCATTTATATCCGGTGAAGTTGATCTTAAAAGCTTTCTTGAACGAGGTTTTTCAGTTTGTGGTTCATAATCAAAATCTTCAGATCTGGTGTAACTAAGATCAGACAAAAGTGAACCTAAGCAGAAAATATCACATATATATATATTCATATTAAAAATAAATTTATTACGAAACAAAATTTTAGTACACTTAAAAGCAAATACAAACCAATCGAAAAAAAAAATTTATAAATTCAATTTTTAGTAAAATCAATTAATAAAAAATTTGTAAAAGGAATTATAGAAAATTCTAGAATAAATTATAAAGTAAATGAAAATTAGTAAACAATTAAAACAAAACACTACAGTCAATACTTATGTTAAGTATTAATTTTAAAAAGCTAATCTAAAAAGAAAAAAATATAAAACACACACAAGCATTGAAGAAAAAAAAAAAAAAAAACAAAAGAAGAAAGTTTTTACAACACAATATAAACACCTGACCTGTGCGATTTGACCAAGACAGAGAACGAGTAGAACTGGAACTAGTATTAATTCCTCGTACTTTTGCTTTTTCTAGTTAATAAATTTAAACAATAGTGAAATTAAAAAAAAATAAATTTTTTTTTTAAATAGAAAAACACACAAACCATTTTGAAAGAATATTTTTTTTATAAGACCACAATTCAAGTTAAATGCAACAAGCATGATAAGTGTGAATTAATTACATATTTACCAGTACTATTTATTTCATCGATTGTGTTCAATTGATATCCGAGTGTATCCGTGTTTGGTTTCAATTTTGAATGAGTGGTGCTTAAAAATTTGTCAAGCTTTTCTTTTGTTTCATTAGCTAATTTATCTCCTGCACATCTCACTGTAGATAAGATTTCTTCAATTTGTGTAACTTGCTCTTGCTTAAAATTACAAAAAAAATTTTAAAATGGATGTGAAATTTAACGTTTTATATACAAAAAAATTAAAACAAAATTCAATTTACCAATTCATCTCTCTCACTTTCAGCTTTTAATCTTTTTTTCTTTTCAGCATCTAACAAACATCGTGCCCTATTTAATTTTTTTTCATAATCCTGCAATTTTTCATTACATAAATCTATATCACTTTTTAACCGTTGGCATTCCAAAACGGATTCTTTCCATTTTAAACGACATTGCTCTTGATGAATGACAAAAGTCAAAAATTCTATAAATACAAATAAGTTAATTGAAGCATAAACGAATTCTGAATTATTTAATAACTTAAAAATTCATATCTGAATAAAAATAAAACCCCCCCAAAGGCTACTAAATAAAAATAAAACGGTTAAAATATATAGCATCACAACAAACCTTCAGTGCAATCATTTTGCAAAAATGAAATAGATTGCCTATATTCATCAAGTAACCAAAGTAGTGATGATTCCCAAGTCATATCTAATTAAAAATAAATTATTTTAATAAATAATATATATAATTTCTAATATATAAATTATAATAAGGTAATTTGTCAATCCTTGACATATGTCAATGTCACTTTGACAATAACCGTCAAAATTATATTTAATTTAAAATTTACAAGAATCCTCGAATATTTTAAAAATGAATTATTAATTAATTACTTATTACGATAAATTTTATATTTTGTGATGAATAACCGACTTTTTAATCACTTTCATTAATAAATAAATAACTTAAAAAGTGTAAAACGACCGTTAAACTAGAAAACCAAGCGTCACCCAATCTCGAACTCCACATGACAAATATGTAAACGATTTAAGTGTAGCCAACTTAAAATTTAAAAAAAAAAAAAAAAACAAACGCAACCTTGAATTTTTTCAAATATTCATAACGTTCATAAAAAAAAAAAAAACAAATTCATTTAATTTAATTAAAATAATACTTATCGTATTTAGTTATTTTAAAAAAATCAAAATAATAATAATTGTATTTAATTTTTAATAATTTTTCTATAAAAATTAATTCGTTTGTGAAACATTTTAAAACAGATGGAATCGTAACGGTATTTAAACACGTTTTCACGTTTACCTTGTTATTTAATCATGTCAGTTATTAACTTATTTAAAATCCCAAACAAATCATCATAGATTAATAACTAATTAATTAATTAATAATTTTAATCTCCTTTTAAAATTAATAAAACATTTAAATCGAATCAAATAAATCCGACGCGACGCTCAGAATAAAAATTCTAAGTAAAACCCAATAGGCAAAAAAATATTTATTTATTATATTAATTTCATTTTTCTTTTTTATTTATACTTAAATAAGAAAAAAATATTATTATTATTATTTAAAATTATTACCGCCCTTTAAAAACATACAATTAATAAATAAAACAATAATAAGCCTACCATCATAATAAAACAAATAAGGATAATAAATAAATAAATAAATAAATCAATTATTTATAATAATACTTTTTATTTATTTACACTATATCAATTTCATATTATTATTATTATTATTATTTAGTAATTATCATTATTATTATTATTATTATTACTATTCACTCTATTCGAACAAAATCGTACAGGTATTTTATTTAAAATATATAAAATCCACCTGATAACAATTCCTCCTTTCAAAACAGTCTTTTCATTTTCCCTTATTATTAATATTATCATTAACAGTTCATTTTATTTATTTATTTATTAATAAAAATTAAATTACAATTCCATTAAAAACATAATCCAACATTTGTTTTAAAAACAAATTTTAATAAAAAAAAAAAAAATGCCCTTTTACAATAAACAAAACACGCCATTTTTATTTAAACACAAAACAAACTTTAAAGTTTAAAATGTTTTTAATAATAATAATAATAATAAATGGATAGTATGTTACAAAGTTATTATTATTATTATTCCATCTGACAAATCAATAAAATCATCATCATCATTATCACCATATCAATTAATATTATGGAAAAATCATTTATTTATATTATTCATTAAAAATAATATACATAAATATACCCTGCACATTTATTTATTTATTTATTTAAATAATATTTTATTAATAGAAATATATATATATATATATATGTATCATTTTTACTATTCATATTTATTACATAAATAAATAAATAAATTTATGTATGCATTATTTATATTAAAATATTTCTTTATTTTAATGTATGTATCTCTCTTTTTATTTATTTTATTTATTTTAAAATATATTTATATATGTATGTATAATTTTTTTTTAAATTAATAATTTATGTAAATAGATTACATAATTGATAATGAAAAACAATACATAGAAAGTATTAAAAAAATTAATTAATTAATTATTAAAAACATAAATAAATAAATAAATAAAAACTTAAAATTATTTTATTAATTTAATAATTATTTATTTATTTATTTTTCGTGTGTCGCGATTCGGGGATTTTATTAATAAGCTTAATACAATTTCTTAAATCTTAATAATAATAATATTATTATTAATTAATAAAGTGATTGATTGATTGATTGATTGACTGTTCGATGGACGACGACAAAGTCAAACGAATCAAACAAAGTAAAACATTTTTCTTATTTATTTATTTATTTTATTAATTATTAACTTATCGATAAAATTATTATAAATAATAATAATAATAATAATAATAATAATGAATTCAATTATTAATAATAATCATTTCACTTTTAATTATTATTATTATTATTATCAACAGTCTGATTAAAAAAAAATATATATTTATGTATATATGTATGAACAGGACCGCGTTTAATAATTAATAATTAATTAATTAATTAATTTTAATAAATAAATAATGATTATTTAATTTATTTATGTACATAAATAAATTATTTTAACATCATCTACCTTTTTTTTTAATTAGTTATTTATTACGTACTGTAATTTGAAGGTATATCGAATTATTTATCCCCCTTATTTCCTCCCTCTCTTTCTCTCTGTCTCCCCTCTTCCCCCTTTTTTCGAAGGGAAGAAAATATGTTAATAAGTTTTATGTATGTTAAATGACATATAATGCCTTATCACTACCCTCTTATCAATTTATTTTTCAGTTTTTATGACGATAGTACCATCATCATCATCATCATTATTATTTGTAGTTTTATTTAAAAATAATAATAATAATAATAATAAATAAAATCACAATTTTTTAAATTATTTATTTATTTATTGATTTCACAATTATTTAAAATAAATTTAATAAATAATTAAAATTTTATATTTAATAATAAAAAAAAGAAAAAAAAACAAAATGGCGTCCGTTCAAAATACAAAACACGCGAAATAATTTATTATTTTACACATGCAAAAAAATCTCCCCTCCCTGTCCCCTCTCCCCCCTTTCTCTCATTATTATTATTATTATTATCGGGAAAATTCCACGTTATGCTTTTCTAATCGATCGAAAATTATTAAATAAAAATAAAAACCAACCAACCAACCAAACGTTCGAACGAACGAATTAATTAATTAATTATTTAACGTAATAATAATAATAATAATTATTATTATTATTATTATTATTTAATTGATAAGAGATAAAGAAAAAAAAACAAACGATCGATTAAGTAATATATATGTGTACGACATACACAATCATTTATTTATTATTTTTTCATATCATCTTATCAATAAATAAATAAATAATAATAATAATAATAATAATAATAATAATCATAATAATAATTAATCTAATCTTTTCTTTTTTTCTTTTCCTCCTTTTTCCCGCTCCCCCCCCCCACCACGCCGCCCCGTTTAAATATTATTATTATTATTTGCTCTTTTTTCTTTTATTTAAAAACAAATATGGCGGTCATATCATTCAATAGAATTATTATTATTATTATGTAATTAATTTATTAATTAATTTTTGTGTGTTTAATGTGTGATGGTTTATCACGACGATGTAGTATTAATAATAATAATTACGACGTTCATTTTTTTTTTTTTTTCAAATTTTTATACGGCATTCCAACCACCCACTCACTCACCCCTCCCCCAACTTTCTCCCTAACTACGGCGCCATTTTTATTTTTTTGACTTCGAGTGCAATCGTCCGTCCGTCGTTTTTTGCAACAACCACAAAATGCACCAAACGATGACTCAAATAATATATATATATATGTCACGCAACACGCGAGCTATTTGCAATTATTATTATTATTATTATTATTATTATTATTATTACCGCTCCCCGTTATTTTTAATTTCGGGATGATTCACATTTTTTAACAAAAAACGATTGGTCGGTATATGAAAAAGAAATTAAATAAAATCGTTAAAAAGAAAAATTTTTTTAAAACGAATGACGATAATAATAATAATAATAATAATAATAATAATAATAATAATAAATTTATTTATAATAAATTACGAGATTTCCCGCTCCCCCCCCCCCAAAAAAAAAAATTACAAAAAAAATTTGACCGAGTCTTATTTGGTAAAACCGTTTTTTTGTTGTTTTGACTTGACTAATAAGAATAACACAAACGACTTATAAATCCAAACTTCCTCCTCCCCTCCCCTCCCCTACCCCACCCTTTTTCTTCCCGCCCCCACTTTTCCCCTCCACACCCCGTAATTCCCGTTCGCAAAAAAACGTTTCGCGTGTGTATATAATTAAAACCGCCGTTCCAATATTTATTTATTTATTTATTTTGTTGTTGTTTTTTAAACTTTCTTATCGATAACAAATACGTTTTTTGTTTGTTTTGTTTTTTGTTTGTTTTTGTTTTTAATAAACAAACAAACAAATTAATTTATTATTATTATTTTTTTTTTTTATTTTTATCATTTCAAATTTAATAAAAAATTTTGCAACGATCAATTTTTCTTTTTTTTTTTTTTTTTTTTTTCATTTTCTCATCATCATAATCATCATCATCATCATCATCATCATCATTATTTTTCCTTCCTTTCAATTAATAATAATAATAATAATAATATATCACGTGGTTATCCTAGTTAAGTTTAATAAAATAACCGATTCGAAAAACTAATTTTAACTTAAACTCCATCTTTTTTTTCCAATAATAATAATAATAATAACAATATTGATGATGATGATAATGATAATAAAATCAATTAATTTTTGTTTTTATTTTTATACCGCGCGATTGATTGATTGATTGATTGATTGATTGATTTACGCTCCTTTTGCCATTCCTTTTAACGAAAAAAACCAAAATTTACTCATCTATCATAATAATAATAAAAAATAAAAAATAAAAAATTTACTTATTATTAAATTATTATTATTATTATTATTATCATCATTATTACTATTATTATTTAAATAATAAAAAAAAAAAAATTACATTTCATTTAAACAAAAAAAAAAAAAATTCAAACAATTACATTTATTTATTTATTTATACTGAATGGCAGAGCTATATACTAATTTCATTCAGGAAATCATTTTACACACGCGCACACGCACACACTTACATATATATATAAATATGTATATTTAAAAAACAACAGAACGGACAGAGAGAGAGAGAGAGAGTGAGTGAGAGAACGGGAGAGAGAAAGAGAGAGAGAGAGAGCTTTTCGCTCAAGTAGACAAGTTTCAGTTGTCTAATTATTAAAGACGATGTTGTTGTTGGTGGTGGTGGCATTCACCCTTGAAGTAAATCTTCCCTTATTCCTCCCTTTTCCCTTTTCGAATTTTTTTTTTAAAAGTGTGGGAAGGGAAAAGGGAAGAAAAGAGGAAAAGGAAATGAAAAACTAAAAGAAAATTGAAAAGGAAAAAGAAATTGAATTAAAAATCATTCGCGACGAGATTTTTCCAACGCATTTCCGCTTTTACTCTTCTTCTTCATCTTCTTCTTCTTCGGGAAATGAGAAAATTTTTGTTTTATTTCCGGTTTTAAAGTGACGTAACGTGACGAAGATTTTCTATCATTCCCGTCATCGAAACCATCATCATCGTGACGTCATAATCATCATCGTCACCTACACATATAGCACCGCGACTACATATTTTATCGGGGGGACGTGAAGTTTTCGACAAGTTAGAAGGGGAGGGAGGGGGAGGAGGTGTAAATTAAATTTTCTTATCCTTATCAAATACGATAGAGTGAGAGTGTGTGTGTGAGAGAGAGAGAGAGAGATAGAAAGAGGAAAACCACAATGAGAATATTCTAGATCTTTTTTTTAAAAGCGACGACACCGATCGGAATTGATTTCCTTTTCCTTTCCTTTCCTTTCCTTTTTCCTTTTCCTTTCCTTTTTTCCTTTTTCTTCTTCTTCTTCTTTTATTTTTCTTTTTTCTTTTTTGTTTTCTGTTTTGTTTTAATAGTTAACGACGACGGTTTTCGTCGGGTGTTTAAGCCGATGAATTGCTTGGCGGTTGCTGTTGCGTTTTTTGTGCCGTTTGACTACTGAGTTGCGATAACGTTTCCTGTGACGCGTGAGCTTTCAATATTGTATTTTCAACTTCCAACTGACTTATCCTGTCCATGAGTTCGGTTATTTTATCCTTTAAAACTTCAACTTCTTCCCGAACGGTGAGCATTAAATGCGTTTTCACAAGGTCCTGAAACATTCGAGAGAGAAAGAAAAATATTTAAAATAAATAATAATAATGATAATCAATATACGTTGATACGTTTTTTCCCTCCCTTCCTCCTCCCCCTCCCCCCATTACCCATTATCCCCTTTACACCCCTTCCAGTCTTTCCTTAAAAGGGAAAACCGACCGAGTTAAGAATACTCGCAGAAGACATGCAGACGAGGGTTGTTCGAAAATCCCAACAATCGAATTTTGCGTTCGACGATTGGAAGGACAACCGAACAAACAAACAAACGAACAAACAAAAAGACCTTCAGGAATGATAAATGTTTCTTTTTTTGTTAAATCAAAGTCAATGTCTCGGCTGTTTTTTTTTTTTCTTTTTTTAATTTACATACGAATGCAAACATAAAAATAATTTTTCGCACCTGAAATACAACAATCAATTGTTTAAACAAAAAAAAGAAACCTTTTGTCGCGATTATTTGCGATTCCGCTTTTTTATTTTTAGGTACGAAGCCTAAATTAAATATTTTTCGCACGATCGTTTCTCTCTCTCTCTCTCTCTGTTTTTCTGCCGCCACGTCAAAAAAAACATTCGATTTTAAGAACGTTAATTTTAATAACCAACAATAATAATAATAATAATAATAATAATAATAATAATGATGATGATGATGATGATAATGAAAATGGCGGATTTACAACAGGTTAGCGTTTTTCCTTCCCTCCCTTCCCCTCCCCTTTCGTTTTCGCAACAATAATAATGACCATATAAGGCAAACGACGACAACAACGACAACGACAAAAAATTTTACTTTTCAGGAAAAAATGAACAAAAAAAAAAAAAAAAAAAAATAATAATAATAATAATAATAATAATAACAAACAATGTATTTCGCAAAAAAAAGCGAAATAAATAAATAAATAAACCTTTTTTTTTTTGCGAAATTTGCGAAACGAAAATTTTATTTATTTATTTGATTTAACTGCGTCAGCTTTTTGAAAAAAAAAATGTTTAAATAATAATAATAATAATAATAATAATAATAATAATAATGATGATGATGATGATAATAATAATAAATAAATTGTAAACTTTTGCTATTTTACCGACGACAGGGTAATGAGAATTTTTTTTTTTTTTTTTTTTTTTTTGCAATAAAGGAAAATGAGTAAAACAAAGGGCTACGGACTGGTAATGAAAACAATAATAATAATACTAATAATAATGATGATAATGATGATGATGATGACCATTCAATAAATAAATAAATAAAATAAATAACATACGATCGTCGAATAGGGAACGACGACAAATTGCGCTTTTTTTTCTCCTCTTCTCCTAACTTCGTAAACGCACGAAACTTCCATATCGCAACTACCGTACTTTGACACGTTCACGTTCATCATTTTCCGTCTCTCTCTTTTTTTTCTTTGTACCGAAAAAGGAAGGAAAAAGAAACGAAAAGAAAAGAAAAACCGGGAAAAAAAAACGTTCGACGTATGTTAACGCGACGGAAAAATTTACAAAACGTCTCCGGGGATATTAAAATGCGTCCGCAACACTCTTCGTTCACCTTTTAAATGAACGCGGCGACGACAACGACGACGACAGACAAACAAACAAACAAACGAAAACAAACGAAAACTTCGAGTTTTTGTATTTATTATTATTATTATTATTATTATTATTATTATTATTATTATTATTAGTATTATTATAACTATTTGATTAGATTATCAAAGACAGCGAGCGGATGCACGTGAGAGCGTCAAGTCTGACTAAATGAAAAAGACAGAGAGAGAGAAATAGAACGAATAAAAAAAAAAAAAAATACAGAAAATTAAAAACGACAACAACAACGACAAAAGAGAGAGAAAGAGTCAGTGAGAGAGAGAGAGAGAGTCAGTGAGAGAGAGAGAGAGAGAGAGTCAGTGAGAGAGAGAGAGAGAGAATAATTTTATTCTTTGTTTTCCGCGTTTAACGATTAATCGAAATCGAGTCATCGATAGAATCGAATCTATTTCACCAACCATTATTTAAACGTCATCCGCACTCGCGCGTGCGCACACCATCGTGACGTCACTACACGATGCATCACGCGACCTACCGTCGTTTTTTTTAAATTTAACTCGTACGAAAAAAAAAAAAAAAAAATGGAGGACCTCAAAAGGTTTCTGATATCATTTAATGGCGTGTCACACACACACACACACACGGTTCAAGGATATTATTAAACCTCGTGATCCCTTTTCTCTCTCTCTCTCAGACCAATGCAATGCTAAATTTGCAAAAAAAACAACAGGACCAAGGTCAATAAACTACAGCAAAAGTTTTTTTTTACAAATACGAAAAACAAAATGGTAATTCAAATTTAATTACCGACGCCATTTTGAATAAAAAATTTTATACGTCACACGTCATCAAGCACTTGAGCATATAAAGGATACGTACGTACACGTTATAACATATTTTTTCATAATAATAATAATAATAATAATAATAATTTCCATGTTACCGCATTATTATTATTATTATTAATACGTGTGTGTGTAAAAGTTTACAATTTAAACGAATTTTTTTTTTAAAAATAAAAAGCGGAAGTAAACACACACCAACCACACGGTAGGGCAAAGCAAAATGGGGCTGGCAAATTGCCTTGAATCGACACGCGAAATTTTCAAAAAAAAAAATTAAAAAATTAAAAAGCTTTTACATCCGACCATTTTGGGAAGTTGAAACCGTTCAGGAAGTTTTTAAAAAAAAAAAAAAAAAAAACAACAACAACATTAATCAGGTTTTTAAAAAAAAGGTTGAGGTTAAAAATAATAATAATAGTAAAAATGGCGGCGGGCGGACACTAAAAAATTAATTCTCCCTTCTATTTCGTGACTTTGTGAAAATCCGAAGGAAAAACAAAACAAAAAAAAACTTTCGATCTAAAAACCCATAAGGTAAAAAAATCTCGTTTCGCCGGATATTAAGACATTTTTTTTTTTTTACCTTCCCAAAAAAAATGATTAATTACAAAAACATTCATTAAGAGCATTTTTCGCCATTAGAAAGAAAATTCTGTGATCGATTTTAACCGGAAATGGCAAAATATAGAAACGGACGAAGTAAAAATTGTTACGTTCGAAATTTCTATCGGTTTCGATATTTTTTCGTGTCGTTTTCTGCAGCGTTTCCTACCACCAACCACCTAATCGCCATTTTGTTTTTACGTCACAAACTTTCACGATTTTCATATCTTAAGGGTATGCGGTAAGAAAAAAAAAAGAAAATTGAATAAATTAATTATTTTATTAAATCCGGGACGGTTCAAAACTTTCGTGAAAGTTGCAAAAAAAAAAATCGAACAAGTGGACGGACGTCATCATCACTGCCTTGAATACCTACAAGGCTCGACAACAACACCTACAGGTTGCAAAACAATTACCAGAATTTCGCGGGATTTTTTTTTCGGTTTCTGCCCGACATTTACAAATAATTCATCATCATTATTATTATTTATTGATATCCTTCGACAAAAAAAAAAAAAAAATAATCGATCGTGTTATTATCGATTTTTCTAAATATCGAAAATCGATAGCCGTCGATTCGAGAAATCGTTTTCGAACTTCGGGCTTTCAAGGGTAAATTCATCAACGTTATTATTATTATTATTATTATTATTATTATTATTATTTTTAACGGATAAAAAAAAATTTCTCTTTTAAATAACGATTATTCGCTCACTGGCGACCAGAGACCTCGTGGCGCAACGGTAGCGCGTCTGACTCCAGATCAGAAGGTTGCGTGTTCAAATCACGTCGGGGTCAATAAATAAAAAAAAAATTTTTTTTTTTTCTATTTTTTCGCACAAAAAATTATTTATGTCAAGCAACAAAAAAAAATGGCGATTGCTCCTTTCTCACACTCTCGACAAAGAAAAATTTAACCTTTCTCACACAAACGTTATATACCAGTACATATTTAAAAAAAAAAAATTAATTTTTTTTAAACACGCATCACACACGTAAATATATATAAAAGAAAAAAAAAGAAAAGGAAAAACTCACCATGGCTTGCTCGATTTTATTGTCAATGGCCCCCGTAGTCGTTCCAGAGGCACTGAAACAAAAAAAAAACAAAAAAAATAAATTTTACTAAAATGTAATAAACGTAAATAATACGCTTCTTCTTTTTCAGGTACATAATAAAACTCGTGAATTTTATTATAAATGGCGTTTCGACGTTTTCCCCCTTCCTCCCTCTCCCTTCCCCTCCTTCCCCCTCTTCTTTACAATTAAATAATTAATTACTATCATTATTATTATTATTATTATTATTATTATTAATATTTACTCTCCGCTACCGTGGATAATTATCGCCATTTTTTTTTTTTTTTTTTTTTTATACGCGAACCAGGTAATTAATGAATAGTTACGAGTAATAAGCGGTAACGATTGCGTAACTTTTTATTACGTAAATTTTCTCATTTTTTCTTCCTCATAACGTTTTAACTTCTCGTATACATTTTTTTTTTTTTTTTTTCGGGGGCCCTAAATCGACATGCTCTTCCCCTCTCCTCCCATCCCATCCCTCCTTTTATACTCCTCATATACTTCAAAATTTTCCAACATCATTCAAAAATGAAAGTAAATAAAAATAGAAACCCGCCAAAAAAAAAAAAAAAGGAAAGAAAGAAATGAATAATAATAATAATAATAATAATAATAAACCGCAAATCCGTGTGCAATGCAAAATGTTATTCAATATATAAAAAATTAATAATGATACTCATAATAATAATAATATTATTATTACGTAAACTTTTATTGAAATAGAAAAGTATTACTACTTATTTTTTCTAATAATGATATTCCGACGATTTTTTTATTATCATCATTATTATCGAGTAATATTTATCAAAATGTCGTTAATAATAATGATAATAAATTTACGTGACGATATCGAAATCGAATCGAATCGTTTCCAAGTGTATGTAAAAAAAATTTTTTTTTTTTAGCCATTCACGTATTCATTTCCACACGAATTTAACATTTTCCCCTTTTCAACCCTTAATCGATACCGAATGCCGCCGCATTGCCCCCTCTATCTTTCCCTCCCCTCCCCCAGCAACCGTTAATCTAGTAATTAAACAAACGTAACGAGAAAAATTTTTTTTTAAATAAAAAATTTACAACATGTGAAACCCGTTATAGTAATAATAATAATAATCCCCTTTTGTCTCTCATTCATCCCCACGTTTTCCTTCCTTCCTTCCACGTTACCCCTTTTTTTATTTTTTAGTCATTCTCTCGGCAAATGAATCACTTTGGAGGGGGATGAATTAAGCAAACGAGCAAACGAGCAAACAAACGAAAAAACGAACGAACAAACGCAAACGTTTTGCCAAAATTTTAAACGTGCCAAAATTCCTTTTAAAAACACAAAACGAATGGAAAAATAAAAAATAAATAAAAATAATAATAATGATAATGGTAATAATAATAATAATAATTATGAAAATTTTTCACAACGACCTTCATCAAGTTCAAAATGGAAAATGGAAAATCAATCGAAAACGAAACAAAAAATTTTTTGTTGCTCTACATATAACTATGACAGGTAATTAAAGAAAACCTAATAATAAATGAATTTCCTCGCCCCCCCCCGACCCCCGTCTTTCTTAGCTTTTATTATTATATTAAATTACTCATTGAAACACAAGAAATTCTCTCTCTCTCTCTCTCTCTCTCCTCTCTATCTACCTATCTCTCTCTCTCTCTCCTCTCTATCTATCTATCTATCTATCTCTCTCTCTCTCTCTCTCCTCTCTATCTATCTATCTCTCTCTCTCTCTCACTATAAAATTTCAATTGATGATGACTTTTGATGATGATGATGCTACACCAATTCTCAATGGATGAGGAAATACGAATCCAAAGTTTTTCAAAAACAACGTATCAAATTATTATCGAGAGAGAGAGAGAGAAAGAGAGAGAAGAAAAGAAAGAGAGAGAGAGAGAGAGAGAGAGAAAGAAAAATAATAAAAAAGGATAAAATTTAAACGATTCGAAATGACAAAAAAATAAAATAATAATAAAATAATAATTTTTTTTCCCTCCATAATTTAAATTTTAAAAAATTTTGGCGCCAATTTTTTTTTTCCCCGTTAACAAAATAAAAAACAAAAAGAAAAACTCACCACGGGAAAAATTTATTTAAATATTTAATTATGAGAGATCTTAAAATGTCTTCTCTCTTTAACAACAAAATGCTTGAATAAGTGATGTTTTTACAAAGATTCTCCATCTTTGTTTTCTGTCTTTGTTTCTCTCGTACGATTCAATTATAAAAATCACAAAACGCACATATAATTTACCGACACATTTTTTAATTAAAAAAGGAGAGAGAGAGAAAATCAAACAAACGGAAAAATTTTAATAATAATAATAATAATAATTTCAATTACGATTTCAAAAAAAAAAAAAAAAAACAAAAAGGAAAAAAAAAGAAAGAAAAACGTTCGCACGTTCACTTCCAACCGTTCACCTTGTTATACTGCGTTGTTTTCAGAAAGTAACGGAGGAAAGAAAAAGAAAGAAAGAAAGAAAGATGGAAGGAAGGAAAGAAAAAGAGAGAGAGAGAAAGAGAGAAAGAGAGAAAGAGAGAAAGAGAAACAAAACAAAAAAATTATTTTTTTTTTGCCAGACTTCAGGGCTCCTCGACTAATTTACTCGAATAATTTTTTTAGGCGCGATCGTAACTAAAAATTTTTTTTAAAAATACAAAACTTCTTGGGTTTTTTCCGCTTTCACTTTTTTTTTTTTTTTTTCAATTTAATAATATTTTAGGTTTCTAAAATTACTTATCGCGTAGACACGCACACGCACGTACGCACACACGCACATACACAAAATTGTTTCTAATGGCGCGGGGGAAAAACAAAAAATCTACTTTAAACTTAACCGACATAATTCACAAACGTTAAAATCACTACAATTTGAAAAATAATAATGATAATGATAATAATAGTAGACAACCTTTAACAAAACGCTCGCGCGCCCCCTTACGGCATAATAATAATAATAATAATAAATCAAACATTTCCCTTATTTTTTTTCAAGCATTGTAATTATTTTTCACCTTATGCTAAACCTATTCCTATTCCTACTCCTCCTACTCCTAGTTGTGGTGGGATCGAAGGAAAAATTAGGTACGAGACAACAATTATACCTCCTTGACCTTATTTCAGTAGTATTAGTACAAGTGGTGGTGGTGGTAAGAACGCGTGTGCGTTTTGTCCTAGTCGTAGTTGTCTGATTCCTAAGCTTGATTCGGAAAAGCGAAAAGAGAGATGTTACGCGTTTCGTCGTGGTACTAACGTTTTGTGACGTGTAATTAGTTAGTTAGTTAGTGATGAAATGTATCAAATATTACTTTGTACGATCTACATTTACGTAGTCGTACATACACACAATTTGAATTTAATTTGCCCATCTCTAGCATACCCAGTCGACATTATAACGTCGACTCGGTCGGCTTAATAACATGGGGTTACGAAACAAAAAAAAAAATGTGTAAATGATAATGATGATGAATGTTAAATGATGATGATGATGATAAAACAGTAATAAGAAGAAAGAGAGAGAAAGAAAAACGAAACGATCGAGAGCTTTTTCTCTCTCTCTCTCGCTCTCTTTCTTTCTTCCCGAGGGAAGAGCGTACGCAGAGACCGTGACACACATTTAAATTTTTTTTTTTTTACCTGCGGTAATTGTGAAAGTGCGTTCGCACGCATAATTTTATTAAACGCATTTTATTTATCATCTAACCTACTAAAAATTTAAAAAAAAAAAAAAAAAAAAAAAACAAACGAAAAATATTTGCCAAAAGCACCACCACCTCCACCGCCACCTCCACGCCATCATTTCATACGCGTATATAACCCGAAGCGAAATCGATTAATCGAATCGATTTTAACTCAAACAACAAAATTTTCTTTTCTCTCCTATTTTTTTTTCTTCACTCGTTCACCATCTATATCTCGTTAAAACCTGTTTTTGCCCTTGGAGAGGTTTGACCTAAATTTTTTTTCTCTCTCTCTCTCTCTCTCTCTCTCTCCCACTCACTCACTCACTCACTCACTTACCCGAAATTTCTGTGCAAATATTGTCCAGACCTTTTATTCGTATACATTTTAATAAAAAAAAAAAAAAAAAAAAAAAAAAAACCCAACCAATGAAATCTAATTCGATACTGGTTTTTTATTTTTATTTTATTTTTTATTTATTTATTTACTTATTGGTTTTCTTTCTTTTTTTATTTAATTAATGGCAATTTACAAATGCGCAGTTTTTTCTTTTCTCAATAATCAAATACTTTTGCATAGGTTCCCCTTCCCTTGTAAACCTTGGCCTCCTTCCATCATCGACAACAACAACAACAACAACAATCTAGTTTTCATCCAATTTAATTTTAAAGGTTTTTTTTGCTTTTGTATTCGTATGTGTTAGGATTATTAATTTACAAAAAATTGTGGTATACTCGTATATCAAATGTAAAAATAACCATGATGATTCAACAAAAATTATGTCAACAAACAAACAAACAAACAACAAACAATAAAACAAATCAATCAATTTAAACTTTAATTTTCTAGCATAAAGTCTAATAAAAAAAAAAAAAAAATTAAAACGATATTTATATGTAGCAGACGATAAAGGGTGGAATTTAAACATAAATTTTCCTAAAATGCAAAAAACCAGATAATAATAATAATAATAATAATAATTGACCGTGTAAGAATAATAATAATAATAATAAGACAAGGCAAGCACAATTAAGATGAAAGAGAGACGCAGAGAAAAATGGCATAACGATAACTTTTATTATTATTATTATTATTATTATTATTATTATTATCATTATCTTCTTATTCTTATTGACGTAAATTTTTTTTTTTATAGACGATTGACGGCAAACTTTTACTTATTCATCATCATTATTATCATTATCATCATCGTCGTCGTATTTAACGTCATCGCAATAATGTTTTATCTCGTCTTGATTTTTT